GTTCCCACTTGTAGTTTCTTCCCAAGCAGTTTGGTGGTWTCTGACAACATTAGGTCTTGCAGCAGGGAGTCTCATGAGTGTGTCTTATCATGGAATTTGCATATTGGTGACATTTCATACGGGATGTCTGGTCATATCCCATCCTGTCACATTTTATTAGGTGTGCTGTCATTGTATGACACTTTACTGGTGGCTTGAGGTCACTTTGCAGCTCATCATTACAGACATTCTTTTTTGTGTTTCTGTTGACGTTTCCTTGAGAGGTTGATGTGATTTCAATGTTGTTGAAATACATTTCCAATTTAACCATCAGTTCTTTCAACTGAAACAGGACTTGAGCATTTTAAGTGTGAATAAATATCAGCTAATGAAGGCTAATTGTGCTGGAAAGTTTAATCTTCTCCACCATGTTGGTGTGGGGAAATCAAAGTAAAACAATTTACTGAAGGCTGTGCAGTCAGGCTGGATGCACAACAGCATTTGAACAGGTGGTTAAACAAAAGTGCAGACTGAAATTCTGCTATAAATTAACCTGAACTTGGGATCCATGTGAATTCCTAATGTGTATTGTGAAAAAGCTAAATGTTACTGCAGAATAGAATAGAATAGAATAGAATAGAATAGAATAGAATAGAATAGAATAGAATAGAAAAGAAATAGAATAGAATAGAATAGAATAGAATAGAATAGAATAGAATAGAATAGAATAGAATAGAATAGAATAGAATAGAATAGAATAGAATAGAATAAGCCTCACATAGTGGCAAAGGAAAATAGAGTTGATGGACATCTCTCTGGAGCAGTTTTGCTTGTGTGGTTTTTGTTTTCTTCAGCCTGCCCTTGGTTCTCCGAACACTCACATTGCCATTCATGGAGTGGCAGTGGGGTCCCTGTATGTCACTGAATTCTTCTGTCACTGCCTGAATTCTTCTGCATCCTGCTGTAGTCTTCATTGCTGTGATGAATGTTCTCTTCCTGATTTGTCATGAGCATCCTTTTGGGACCTGCTCTGCTTCTCTGACATAGTAAAGGGGTAGAACATACACCTGGGGAAGTTGCTTGTTTCCATTAACATCCTTGTCTTGAAGACTGGCAAAAATGCTGCACAATGGTAAATCTCATGGATTGAACTGCCTGGTTGTTTGCTTTGCACTGCTTTCATTACTCAGTGCTTTTAAACTGCTTTTGAGGGGATTATAACTCATCTCTGTCATTTACAAATAGCAGCATATAAACATGGGGTGTTTAATAGTCATTCCAATCATGCAGGCAAGATCGTGTTAGCAATCCCTGTAAGTTTTAGATTTTGTTTAAAGCAGTTCCTTGCTCTTAAGTGAAAAGCATTAATTCTTAGGTAACAGGCACAGGTGTCCTTCAAACCTCCAGTAAGTGGTCTCACTGGGTACTTGAGTACAATGAAGGGGTTTTCATCAGATTGAATAGGTGGGAATAAAGAGCTGTATTGTCTCTTGGATGAAAGAAAACTGCCTGTGTTTTATATCCAAGAAAGATGCATAAGTTGTTGTGAAAMCAAATGAGGGGTGCCAGATGCTCCCCCAAAAGAAAGGAGAGCTGTAATTCTTTTTTTCCACTGTTCTAGTAATCAGAAAATAATTACTTTACAGGTTTAAAGCCATAGTTACCTTGATAAATAACACCTCAGTTTTGGAGCCTCTGTGGACCTTCATCATGACTGTCTTAGGGATAGGTGTTTACCCAGACTTCARTGTGGCTGACAACCATGACATTTTTCCATGTAGTTTGAATGAGTCAGATTTGGGGCTGGATGCTTCTAATAGACTTAATCCAGCTTTTACCACTAAAGCATTGAGAACAGAACTTATTTTTGTGATACTTCTTTATTTTTTTTAGCATTCTGTATTTTGTTTTAGCCCATATTAAGTAATACCATGCAGAGGTTACCTCCTTTTCTGGACATGTGCATCACTGTCAAACTTAGTGCATGTCACCACAGGTGGATGTGGAAATACWGCTTTTATATTTGGAATATCTGCATATATCTACATACACCCCCTGTATGGGATCAAGTGGTACCTTAGTAATGGTTTGAAGTATGTACACCAATGGGATAGATGCTGCAAAATTTTGTTCATGCTAAGAATAAATGAAGTCAGTTTCTGCAGATACTAAATARGAGTTGTGCTGTGCAATTTGGCAGATTTCAATGAAAAATGGGAAAAGCTCCTTCAGTCTAAGCTATCCAGCTTAGAGTAGATCATAGCATGGACTGGAAATGCACAAGGTATCCAGTGATTTGGGGCTTTAAAAGTCAGGATTTTTTCAAATCGGTCAAATACTTGCATTGGAATGAAACATCGGGACCTAAGAGGGCCTGATTTCCCTGAGAAGTGACAACCAGGATGTGATTTCTGTTTTATGATTACCAGCTGTTCTGACTGTGGTGTTGCAGTGACATGGAGTTKGTCTTTTCATTGCTGTGGCATTCACAAGCGGGGCTTGGTAGCAATTTTATTTCAGGTGGTATTAGTTGTAGCACATAACGTGGGAGGTTTTTGAATCGGGTTCCTATTGTGAATTGTTCCTGAAAAATCTTCCTAATCTTAYTAATATTGACTGATTCTTTGTATTAGGGTTTCCCAGGGATTGGTGTAGTGTAAAGGATTAAAGGCCTCTGAGTGAAGGATGACCTAGATTCTGATAGATTTTACAATGCAAATCCATACAGTCAGAGGTCATTAATGGAAACATCTGAAGCTAATATGAGTTAATATATTTGAGTGCTCWCTGAAATTAATCAGTATTTTGGTTCCAGGTGAGTACAATACAGTTTATGTTTAAGTATTTCAAAACTGCTTTCATTTAGAAGCCTATTCAAAAAGTGGAATAKCATCTTGCATGTCCAATGCTCCTTCTGAGAAGTTGGGTTCTGGAGAACTTTTGAACATGGGATTTTCCTCCGAAGGTTGGAAGCTTTCTCCTCTGCCCTTTGTAACATGATAATTTCAAGAAAACAGCAGATTCCTAACAATGAAAAAAAAAWCTTAATTCACTCTTACTTTGGTAAAGAAAATTCCCTGAGCATTTTTTATGTTAAGTTGAAAAAGTGAACTAGGAACTTCAAGAAATTAAAAAGCAACTGGCTCTCCCACCTCAAAACAGAAGGATGATTTATACGCATAGCTACTTTTCTTTTCTGTATTTACAACGTACTATATTACGTGAAGATCTGATAAGCAGAAGTCATATTCCTGAACAACCTGGTCCTCGTCTGTTATAGTCCAGCTGTCCCTACTGTTTGAGTGGGTGCAGGGATTGGMTCAAAACCAGGAAGATTCTCAATGTAATTATTATCTAAAGGCATTAATGTATTTTCCTTTATGGTAGTTTCCCAAAGATCAGCATGGGGACCTTAGGATACAAATTAAAAAGCCCTCTATTTGGCACTTTAAATATGTTTTCATTTTTTCATTTCTTTYACAAGCCTATTTACTTACATTTGTTTCTTTTATTAATACTTGCCCTTTTATACTATGCCTCTTTCCTAAGCATGTGGAAATATGTAAATATCCCAAGCAAAGACATTCCATTTCAGGCCACTAATAGGGCCRGCCATTATGATTATGCTATTTATGAATAAACAGAGGCATTTACCCAAAATATTCAAAGCTGGCTCTGAAAAGCCTRTAAGTTAGGCATCTATTTTATTACTTGTTTTTCTAAGTCTCTCAAGCAAGGMGTCTGTAGCAGAGGTGGGGGTAGAGTACAAGGAGCTGGGCTCTCCCTTTTCTGGTATCATCAGCATGCTGGGRCAGGTTGTAATTTTTATTATTTTGGTTTAGATCAGGTAATATCTTTGAAGTCTGTAGCACGTGTACAGTGTAGCACTCAGTGACTGTTCTTAGGTGTGGGCGCTGCTCATGAGAAGCTTTGGCAGCTGGAGCTTTAGCCATCCCCATCCTCCTCTCGTTTAGTGTGGACGTGCAGGATTCACAGTCTCAGAGGAAATGCTGTAGGACGGGGATCCAGTGCAGCTCGTTTTGAACACAAACATTTTTACCAGCTCTTTGCCACCCACACATGATATCCTCGTCCGCTTTACGTGCACCCCAGGGTCCCTGTGGGACAAATCTCTGTGCTCCCAGCAGAGCCGGCAGCGCATCCTCTGACATTTCCCAGTGCCCGGGAATGTTTGTGGCTCYGCTGTGCCTCCAGCACACTGCGGGTTAATGGGGCAGGCGGGGCACAGCGAACAGTCTCTGGCGGAATCATTAGGGTTTGCTGGCAGGCTGCCAGCGCGGTTGGTGCAATTTTACACTCACTTTTCAGCAAAAGCTTAAAGGGGAAACCTCCGTTMGCTTTAAGCCTTTACAGCCAGCGAGAGGCTGCCGGGGCATTCCTGCCCTTGTCCAGACCTCTGATGAACAGCTGGCTGGAAATTCTCATCTAAGCACTYGCAGTGATTTGTTGCTGTGACTGTGGTTTTAAAACTGGTAGTCGGGACTATTTAAAATTAATGGATCTGCATGGGGTTGATTGGTGATATTGCTGTCTCCTCTGTTTGGATTTTCCCAGAGTTAAAATGTAGAGTCTGAGTGCATTTTGAGGAGGGGGTTTAAGTGCTGGAAACAAAACAAAAAAAAACCAAAAAAACCCAAAAAAACACAAAAACCCTAACCCCTGGGAAGGTATAGCTGAGCAGGCATAGCTAGACTTCAGTTAGTACCATGAACACATAGCAAAGATTGTAGGTCTGTCCTGCAACAAGCTTCAGCTGCATGTGAAATTAATAGCAGCTGATAGTGTTTAGCTCCTGAAAGGGTTAGGTTATAACAGCTGTAGGTGATTTTAATTTGTTACTTGTGTAGAGAGTTAATCAATTAACCWTTAATTAGTTGTTGTATAAAAACCAGAAATTGAAACATGCCGCCCTAKTTAATACCTATTGATCTGGAATTAGAGAGCAAAAGGGTTAAATCTCAATCCCTCTCTGATTTATATTTCCCTCCCCTTCTTCCCAGCTGTGGACATGGATGGAAGATCTGCAGAAGGAGCTTTTAGAGGATGTCTGTGCTGACTCTGTGGATGCAGTTCAGGAGCTCATCAAGCAGTTTCAGCAGCAGCAAACAGCCACCCTGGATGCTACCCTCAATGTTATTAAAGAAGGGGAAGATCTAATCCAGCAGCTCAGGTAAGCATCTACCTGGGGGGCAGGTGTTGAGAAATCTGATGCATGCTGTGCTCTAGGGGTGCATAAATAGGGAGCTGCAAGGATCAATGGGGAGAGCGTGTTAATTCTTTGCTTATTAATAATTCTTCAGATCCTATGAGTGTTTTATTGAAATTACAAGGAGTGATTTGTGTGGACTGATTAGAGTAGTCTGTGGATCAGCATGGGTTTCCTGTTTTACAGAGAGATTATTTATAGGCACAGGGAAGTGAATTGAACCAAATGTGTTTGAAGTGAATATTTTTAGTTGGTATTTATAGAGGATTGTTAAATGGTTGTGAGTTRAGGCCTCGTGATTTATATGGTTATTCCTGATGTAGGGTAAGTGTATTCCTCTTAATAAAATACACACGTGTCTAACAGCCTTCACTCTTTGATTTTGCATGTAGCACCCTTCTATTTATCTTTGTGTATGTGGGGTTTATTCATCATGTCAAAGAGGCTCTTATACTGCTGGTTCTACTAGCACTATGAATTAAACCAGCTCATTTTTGCCTAATTTAAAATACATGAAGAGACTAGCCTCAAGAATTGGAGGGGAGGGAGGGAGGGAGTTTCGGTTTTTTGGTGGGGGTTTGTTTTGTTGTTTTTTTTTACTTTCTCAATCTGCAAGTATAATCAAATGAATGTTTGCAGAGTAAGCTGATATAGAATTTGTAAATGTGAAATCACTGTTATCTGTTGTTATAGTGGTTTTCTGTGCCTTTAGCATTGTTGACAGCAGTGAAGTTTTTCCTGCCTTTTAGGGATCTTACTGGGCACCAGACCAAGTCCAATACATCACTTATTATTTAGATCTTTGTATTTTTACAGGTTGCACATAGCATTCATGTTCTGTATACATTATAATATGCAATTATCCCAGGTCTTGTGCATTTCWCCAGACTGTCACAGAGAGTTAGATCAACCTCCTCACCCTGAGCTTTCCTAATCTGACTCCTTTTCTTCCCACCTGAAAAGTGCAGAAAACCATAAGCCMTGAAAGGAACCTGATAGGAAAAGCCCAAAATGCTCTGGGGTAGAATAGGCAGTGAGGGTTCTGGTGKAGCTCTGCCCTTAAGAGCCCTCCTGGAGTCCTTAAGTATTTTACTACTGCTATATGCTGAGCTTTCCTCTAAGCTTTTTCCTGTCATTATGGATGCAGAGTTCTCTCTGCTGGGTCAGGGAAAAAAAGAGAGGTTTGAAAGGACTGCTCCAGGTGTTTATTGTCATTGAGCCTTGGGCAGCTCCACTGGAGAGCCCATGGAGGAGATTCGTACTCTTGCTGGGAGTGACTTGCTGGTGCCACAGGGAAGGGTGAAGGACACGAGCTGTGGTATTGCTTGCCAAGATTAGAGTTGGACAGGAAGGATYAGGAGTAGACATGGGAAGGTTCCATCATTCTAATCATCTTTGCTGATGAGATCAGTAGGAAATAAACTTGCTGGGTTTGTTGAGCTGCCAGAGGAGAAGGGGTTTTAGCTAAGAATGTGTGTATGGCAGCTCAGTCTGCGTGGTCACCTACCACTTGTGCAAAGAAACTGTTTGCAAAGTTTAGGGCATTTCTGCACGATACAAAAAATGACAGTGAAATTCTGGACTGAAGATTTTTTATTATTCTTCCCAACTATTGGAATGGCATCACTTCAGTGTGAACATCCATGAAGAGGAGGCTGAAGGGGACCATGTACAAGCCCAGCTGGTGGAGTGTGGTTTGTGGGGTTGCAGAAAGTGACTACATTCAAAGAGTCCTGCTTCTGGTTGTGGGAGTGGCCTAAAGGCTTTTTGCCTGCACCCAAATCAGTAGAGAAGCATTGAGAGTGGCCACAACATTACCTGGAGCTGAGAAGTCAGTGGGGCATGAGGAAAAGCTGAAATGCAAGTTGGTGTGTGGGACTTCACCTTTTTCTAAATGTGAAATTAGTCAGTTCTGAGTTTCAGTCTTGGAAAAGCAACAGTGACCTCAGCTTTAAAACTTTTTTTTTTTTTTTTTAATTGGTGTCATGCTCAAATTTTTGCAGAATACCAAGGCAGGTTTTTTGGTGGCGATGTGGAACATAGAAATGTTGGTTTTGGGGTCTGTCTTGTACTCTGGGCAGTGAGCAAGGTGGAACAAGGTGAATATATTTGTGCAAAGTGATCCCCTGCTTCTGACGAAGTTAATATCAAACCCAAAGAGAACAGCTGGGTTGAATACATGCAAAAGTTTGCAGTGCTGCACTGTCAAGATGAGCTGGTTCAAGTGTTGGATTTGAGTGCTCTGACTAACTGCAAAGCCTGTAATGTGATCCTGGACTCTTTCAAATAGTGAAGCAGAACAGTGTGGAAARAATCCCCAAGAAGCTGCCTCTGTGTGTGCCCACTCTTAACAGTTTCCATGGCTGCTGGCAGTGGTAAAGAGCACTCAGATAAAGGAAAAAAGGAATAACTAGAATGGCCACAATCTTTCCTTAGCACAGGATTGCATTTCAGTGTGTATCACCTTATACCTKCCATGAAGAACAGATGAAGATTGCAAACGCTGCAACAATGAAGAGAATTAAATACACTGCTCTTATCAAGCATGTCATAACACAGGCTAAAAGCAACAAAATTACTGGAGCTTTGGAAAGTTTTACATTTGTTCTTATCTTTGAGAGAACAGAYTTTGGTGTAGAGAAGATCACTCGTGTAATAGCCCTTGGTGTTCCCACCAGATAGGTGATGGAAAGCATAGCTGCCTGAACTGAATACCATGCCTGGACTGCTCTTCACAGAAGGTCTTCAGTGACTGCATCAGGAGGCCAGACCTGTCAGGAATAAAACAAGTCTGCCCAGCAACTCTGTGCAAGTCATGGTTCACTCTGGAAACACTTTTCAGTCTTCCTTATCAGTGCTTTCCTGAGGTGATCCTTGTTCTCAGCACTCAACACAGAGCAAASCTTTTGAACTGCAGGTCTAGGGGTGCTGCTGGAGGCAATATTTCTGCTCATCYGTGAAAGGCAAAACAATGACTTGCTCCAGTGAGATGTGAAAGAGCAGGAATGTTAGGGGTTGAAAAAGAAAAGGCAGTGAATAATTAGGTATCTTGCCTTTTTTACAGTAGTTCAGCATGTAAACTTTAGATAATGGGTATTTCTCACTGAGCTTTCTCCCATAAAAGCACTGAAAGTGGTTTTAGGAGAACAGTGTTCATTTTAAACAAAGTCAGMAGTGTACTGAGTCCAATTTTATGTTCCCTAAAGTTTGTTTTGAGGGGTTTTTTCCAATAATTTTCTTGATTTTTTAAAACTCTAATCCATAGCCTTTCAAACATTAGTAAGGATCTTAATATTTATTCTTTCCCAGAATTTCTYCTCACCAGACAGAGCTAGAAATATTGTGGCAGAAGCATGCAATCTCATGCAAGAGATGTTTTTTTCTGTAGGAAATCGATCTCTAACCAGGCTAGCTAGAGATTGTCAATGCCTTGTCCAAGGAGCCTCAAAAAAATTACCAGATWACTACTCTTAAACTTTTGTATTGCATCAGTCACTGAAAAGCAAGTGTGGCTTGATTTGAAGAGTGAAATGTTTAATGAAAAAGAATTTCTAAAACTAAGTGTGTCTCTAGATCCCRTGAGAGATTATTCAACACCGGTCTTGAATAATTCATTGAGTAATTTAGATAATATATGAATAGTAATAATCCTGCATCTGAGTGAAGACTTATTTCGTGTCCTTTTATAGAAGACAGGTGCTGACTGARGGAAACAGAACTTGATTAGATTGAGCCTCAGATTAAGCTGTAGTTTCAAAATCTCTAGTTATTTTCATTCCTYCTTCCTCTGTACAGCTCTAATGTGGAGGCAGAGATGGACCCTGTGACCACCAGGAATGTGAAAACAGAGTGGGGCAGGAATTATAAAACCTGGAGAGAGAAATATGGGTGTAATGTTCCCTTAAAAGCAYGGGAAATTGGTAGTATTTGCTTTAGAATAATGCTGGAGCATCTGATGTTCMGTGTATCAAATATCAAGTATTTGAGGAAAAAGGGGTGAAACACATCCAAAGAGCTAACTACTGTGCAGTTAATAGTATTCTGTATTTTTAATTTTATTCTCAGATGTTCAGGCAAATGCTTTTTCTTTTCCTTCAAGGCACATAATGAAAACAGAGTACTGTGTGTTTTGTTGCCTTAGAACCTCCAAGGTGTGTTTTAAATGTAGCTAAAATGATCCTGTGTCAGTGCCTAGTTCAGTTTAAAAGGCRTCTGCTAAAGATTATGCTTGCTTTTCTCTCCATTATGCTCGCTGACAGTGTTAATATTAAAGTTCATTGCATGTTATTTTCATCTGACCCTATGTGATGACAATTTGCACAGGCCTTTCCAACGGTATATTTAATAGGGTTTTCTGTTGGCTTAAATACACCAAATAATGCAGCTGCTATCACAATCCTTTGAGCAGGTTGGATGGAGAAAACCATTGCATCTAAATGTTGCTTTAGCCGAGGTGCCAAAGCCAAGATTAAATTTTGGCTTCAGAGTTTCCATTCTGGCCCCTCTAAAAGTTGAGGGACATTAATGTGGAACGTTTGAGGATATATTTCAGTTCTTTATGTCTGCAAAGGATAATTATCCATAAAACAGTCCCTGAAAAAGGGGACATAGAAGACATAGCAGACTGTGGGTGAGCCTGTTAATCTACACTAGAGCACAAATAGAAAAGGAACTGTCAGGACTGTCCTGTGCCAAGACAGGAGTAGAGACTCTTTCGAGTACAGTAAATTCCCCGTTAGTCCTGGCCCACCAGTTAAAGGTTTTGCTCCCTTCTGCTGCCTGTAAATGGAAAATGTCACTGGAGCAGGATCTGACCTGTAACAGTCACATCTCATTTCTCTTCCCCTGGTGATAAGACAAGTCAGAATCTCTCTTGGAGTGTTTGCAAGGTGTGCTGGGGTTTTTTTGGACTGTGTTCTATATCCATTGCTGGACTGTGCAATTAACAGGAAATTAACTGGTAAAAGGTGCAGGTGGCTAAGTAGCATCTCTGGGTTTGATGTGAATATAGCCAGGAACAGGGGATCCTGTAGCATTAAAGGTGGTTGCCAGCCAATGTCCTCAAGAGAGCCATTGATACTGATGTGCAATCTCCTTCCCTGCCCCTCCCAAGTGTTTGAGGTCACAGTGTCACCCCACAAGAAAGGATGATCCCCCTGTCCAAAGTTGGTGCCCAGCTCAAGAGGTGCAGAATTTTMGTGAGTAGAGAAGATGAGCATTGCACACTCCTTCCCTCAGCCCTTTGAGCTTACCTTTGCTCCTCAGCAGCCCACAGGGTCACAGATGTGTAGTCCTTGCTCTTTTCCTGCTCAAAGCCCAGCTTTAACCCTGCTCTCTGCYTTGCCACAGGGACTCTGCCGTTTCCAGCAACAAGACCCCACACAACAGCTCCATCAGCCACATCGAATCCGTCCTCCAGCAGCTCGACGAGGCCCAGGTACAGATGGAAGAGCTCTTCCATGAGAGGAAGATTAAGCTAGACATTTTCCTGCAGCTCCGGATTTTTGAGCAGTACACCATTGAGGTAAGAGCTGCTGCGTGACCTGAGGAGGGGGGAGCTGTGGGAGAGACAGGACATGTGAACATACCCTGTGAGGGTCTGTCTGGAGCTGTTTGATTGTGCTCAGCTGTCCAGAGGGAGAGAGAGACAGAGTTAAAACCATGCTTTAATTCAGCTGTTGGACCTAAGATGTGCTTTAGGATAAATTGCTGGAATGCACTGAAATAGGTGCATGGGTGCTTAACTGACTATGTGAGGATCTGCCTGTGTTGCAGAGAAGCTTTTTGAGATCCCTCTTGTAACTCTGTTGACATGAGTCAGGGATTTGAAAGTTCTGTGTCACTTGTTAGTGAGGTTTGTGTCTTCAGATAAAGATACATGCCTGTCTTTCAACTACACAGTGAGAAACCATGTTATGCATAAAAGGAAAGTATATTTTRAAGTTGGGCTTTGTAAACATTACAGTGGATTTATTTAAAAAGGAAAAAAATATGAGAGGGGAAAGTTAAAGTATGGTTTTATATCCTCATTTAAAAAAAAGTCTTTCAGTTCTGTTTTGTACTTCTGTTTTGAAATTAAAAGCACATGGTGGAAAATTCATCAAAACATTAATAATTGGGATATTCTTGGACTGAGAAATTTTGAAGTGACTCCAGCCAATCTCAGTAATTACTTGCTGCACTTCTGATAGGATATGATGAAAAGAGAACAAAATGTATATTAGCTTGTACACAAAGTCTATGTGACTTGTGTCAGAGTTTGGGTCCTTTCTGGGGCGTGTTCCTCCTGCTGTGTCCCACCGGTGCTTGTTCAGTTCAGGGAGCACCCTTAAGTGAGGATGATGCATTTCTGAAGGCATTGTTTGTAAATCTGTAGGTAGTGTTAAGGTGGGTACTGTTAACTAATGTGAGGTTTAAAATGCTGTGTTATGTTTTGTGTTTAAGACACAGAGTGATGAATTGTAGTGTAAGAGAAGGCAGGAAAGAGGTGTCCTGTTTCCTAAAAGGTGTCCTTTCTATAGCTGAACACCAGAGATAATAATCAGTGAGGGTATCTGAGCTTTTCTGTTGTGACTGCACAATGAGGGATTTCACTGAAGTCTGCCCTATAGTGCTTGTTAATTATGTAAATTTGAATAGTTTCATTTACTTACCAGTCACATGCAGCCTCCTTGCTATTGAGAAGCAGCACTTTTTATGTGTGCACAAATATAAATGTGTCTATTTTATATCAGATACTGCTCTTCCAGCAAAGTATGTTACCTCCTTCTATTTAAATAGAAGATTCTTTGATACATGTGGTGTGGCAGATGTTTAATAATTGAGAGTTTTTACTTTAAAGATGTAAATGGATGTGAATGCTGTACTTGAACATACCTATAAATGGTACCTGTGTTTTCAAAAATAAGAAAAAGAAAAAGGGTACAACCAATATGTGCTTCTGGAACACCCAAATGTGTTTGTAGACAGCATGTAGTAAACCCATGTGAGTTACTGATTAAGGTCTCAGCCTGTTGTGCTGCAAATTCAAGGTCTGGACCTATAATWGTATAGATTTAAGTAAAAATATTTCTTAAAAAATTAAATCAGATCACTGCTCTCAAATTATGTTTCTTTGTGATTAGTCTTTCAATCAAAGTGTGATGCCAGCAGGCATTACTTTACTGATGGGGCAACCAATGCATCAGGAGAGGATGTAACTTACACCACTCCCCTGCACATGGAATACCAAAATGGGAATATTTTGTGGATAMCTCTGATTTGTTTCTGCATGAATCCTGCTTCTGTGTATTCACAGAATGGAGTGGCTGTGATACAGTAAGGTATTTAAAACTGGAAATGTGCTTCAGAGCCTTCTAAAATCAGATTAGCTAGAAAGGATTTTAAAGAAAATCACCACTTAGTTGTCACTGTAGGTTTGCTCATTTTTATCATATGAACATCTGAATTCCCTCTGCAAGATTAATATTACAGGGAAATCTGAGAACRTATTTCATAGAGAGTCTATGGGCAGATGATTTTATTTAGGAATCTCTCTCTTGGGGAAATATTTATTATTTTAGAATAATTATGATAATTTCTACTGAAAACACAATGAAAAATATGTCCAGGTCAGTATYTTGAATTCTCCAAGTACASTTAGTCTTAAACAAGAAAGGCAGTTTGATGGATAACAAAACAAAGGCAATTTGAAATAAAACGTTCAATAACACGTGTATGTTATGCATTTCAAACAACAGCTGAATTGGCTCAAATTGACACAGTAATGGTGCTTAGAWAGTAGAGTGCAGTCAGTTGCCTCAGCTGTATAATAAAGATTCCAAGTCAGTAGGAAACTGTTACAAGAATTAACAGAATTATCTCACACCATTGTTGAGAAACAAAAAGATTTTTTTTTCATCACCATAATTTTAAAGCATGTAGTATTTCTGATGGTTGACTATTCGAAGCTATTGAGAGAAAAAGATGATGACATTTACAACAGGAAATGAAGTATTGTTTGCTRTTAAAGACAAGTAGCTTGAGCTGTGACTGGAAATGTATTTAGGTTTTAATTTTCCATAATAGCCTAGATCCTGCATAGATTAAGAACAGTGAAATAATGTGTACCAGTATGATTGCTTGTCAAATGAATTTCTCCTTTTCAAGTCTAGATAAGCCCCTTTCCATCTGTCCAAAGAGCAGTGGCATATTGAAYACATCCTTAGTGAAAGACCTCTACCTGCTGCAGCCGTGTTAATCCTCCCTGCACTCACACAAGCTGCCTGCAAAAAATGGGCCCTCCTCCTCCCCCCAAACCTGAACACCTTTCTCCTCATTGCTGCTTCTGCTTTGTCAAGCACCAGTTTTTCCCTCCCAGGTCTGTTCTTGTGTCTGTTGGTTCTTGTGCTCCAGGGAATCCCTTGAGATGAGTCTTTTCCCTGGCACATCTGGTGAGAAGATTTGAATCTCTCCAGTGGAAGCCGGAGGGATGCAGCTGTGGGAGCCCATCTGCTTCCAGCAGCTTTAGGATGGCTGTGCATTAGAGTTCATCCTCGTGTTGTCTCTTTCCATCCAGTTTTGGTACGGACCATTTTCAGTTCTGTTCATTTTCCCTGCTTTGACTCTCCTTTCCAATTAATAATGCAAACAAAGTATTAGAGTTTTTTTTTAAATTCACAAATGGTATATGAATGATTTGCCGTTTTGTTTAGGAAGTGTCTGTCTTTTGTTTTTTGGAAACTTCCCTGCTTTGACTGTTCTCCCCAGATACTGAAATTTGTGCCATAGATCACATGAACCCATTCCTCTGGCACTCCTTCCTAAACTTACACTGTGCCCATCTGTTTTGTAGCCCCCCTGGTTTTTGAGATTTTGTATAATCTTTGCTTCTTGACAGTGGTTTGGAGACCAGACAAACTTCAGGATTCATGATTGTTGCACAAGCAACACTTATTTCCATCTATTTAGGCATTATTGATCTTGTACTTCAGTGAAATCTGTCAACTATTGTTGGATTTTGTTTTCAGGAAAAATAATTTCCTTTAAGAGAAGCCACCTGCCTATTTCCTTGGCAGGGCAGACCAGCTGTGCTCATTTAGGACTTCTGAGGACTTTTAAGCCTCACAGGCAGCTTTTGTGTTGTACTYGAGTCGTGGCAGGTTTGGCAGATAYGAATTTGGGTACAAACCCACAGGCCCATAACTTGGGCTGCCTGTTCTTTCTTGCCTTAATCTCATTATATTGACTGATATTWACACTCTGGGTTCTTGGGGTAAGTTATGAAATCCAAACTATAGCAACACCTGGAAACAGACATAACAGAAACATGAGAGAGCCTGGCTGTCCCTATGGGAGGCTGTTCTGCCCTAAGTTTTAACACCACAAAATGACAGCCTATCCTTTATTTAGGAAATGTGTCTCACTCTGATGTCTGATATGTTTTGCTCCTTTGCCAAGTCACTGTGCATTTCAAAACAAGATGGGATCGTTGGGATTGTATATGGTTGGTCTTTCTGTATGATACAGACTTCAGTTGAGTTTGTGCAGCCAGCCAGGTAACTCAGGAGAGTTCCTGGAATGTGAGTGTGGTGGCTGATCTGCTGTGAGGAAATTGGGAGCAAGGCTGGAGGGCTGAGGGCTGGCAGAGAGCAGCAGCAGTGCTGGCACCAGGCTGAGTGTGTTACACACACAAAGCACAGTCCTGCTCCACAGATACATCCTCGGGAAGATCTGTCAAGGATACTTTGTCCCTTGCTTCAGAAACAGTAATTTAAAGGCTTATTAAGCATTATTTGAATGATTGTGAATGTACAGCAAAATGCTGAGAAAATGCATTTGAACTAAATGGTAAAATGGACTGAGTTGTAACCCCTAAAAAAATTACTGGCGTGCAGAGTCTTTTTGCATATTTTCCGTTAAAGCTTTTGTAGAGAGGTTGTCAAATTCACCTGCAGCCCCCTATAAAAAGTTCTGACTGAGAACAGGAGTGATCTCAGCCAATGCATCTCCAGCAGCAGTTGTTGGTTACCTCAAAAGAAACTTCTTTCTCCCTTTCTCAGAAGTGTCCAGCCCCTTTCCCTGTGTGTATTCTTTTCCTACAATGTGCAATGCTGGACAGAACCTTTGATCTGTAGTCTCAGTGTGATGTGGTTCCTGCACCAAGACAGTCCTGGGAAGGATAAAGGGGGTTTCCATTGTACAGTATAAATTGGATTGTGTATGCTGATTGTTATAGTTCAGAAAGCCCCATGATCACTAAAATCTTCACCTCCTGGATATCTAATTTTCCAGCATTCMGTTTCTTTGGCTCCATTTCACTGGCTAATTAAATTTTTCAGCCTTGATTTCTCTTGCTGGCTCTTCTGGCTGTTCACAGCCATCCCTGAGCATGAGTTTAGGAGGAAACAGGAGCCAGCTWTCACAGCAGCTTATTTCACTGTTATTTACAACTCATTTGAGTGTCCCATTCTAGGTTTATAACACTGGCAGAATCTTTCAAGAGAATTAGCAGCATGCATGAAGGTACAAGATGTTTAATAGCCC